GCCTTTTGAGGTAGGCTGAGTTTTACAGTTAAAAGTGTTCGATTCCTTTATAAATGTTAAAGTTCTTCAGGTGCTTCTTGACGCTAACACAGTGATGTATTTCTGTCTCTTGTTGTTGCTGTTTTATTTAACTTACGTCGCACTAGAGCTGTACAACGGGCTATTGGCGACGGTCTGGGAAACATCCCTGAGGATGATCCGAAGACATGTCATCACAATTTTGATCCTCTGCCGAGGGGATGGCACCCCCGCTTCGGTAGCCCGACGACCTGCGCGCGAAGTCGAGCACTTTACGGTAGCACAGTTTAACGAGGACCAATACCGCACACCCTCGGTCCCTACGCAGACTGATCCAAGTGGTCACCCACCCGCACACTGACCGCAGCCAGTGATGCTTGACTTCGGTGATCTGCTGGGAACAGTGTCTTAATGATCAGTGTCTTAACGCATCGAAACCTGATTTGTTTCTGTTTCAACTTTTTGATTTAATTTTAATTATTTATTTTCAAATTTTTTTTCCAATTCAACCTACTTTTTCTAGGTATTTGTTGAAATGAAATATCTTGCAACCGCGGAACCTAGCAATACAATTCAATACTAGCCTTTTATTCGTTTATCGGTGCTTAAGTTCGTAAGGTGCTTCGTATCGTATGAAGGAAATTAGTTTCTCAGCCATATGAATCAGGTATTTAATTATGATTCTCAGACAAAAATTGGTGTCAAGACATTTAATGGAATTTCATATCTTCTTTTTTGCTTCTGCAATAATTTGTGTTTTTTTTCGAACTTGCTATCTGAATCAAGGATGACTGCAAGATGTATAGTAAAGTACTCTTGGAAGAGGTCCAGTACAACAAAAAAAAATATTACTTTTTACTTGCTTAAAAGTGCTAAAAATCTTCAGGTACTTCATGATGTAAACATGATCCAGAACTTAAGTCTCTCAGCCACGCAACTCAAATGCTTAATATTAATGTTTTATCTCTGATAGAAACAGGTAGTCAAACATTTCTTGGGAGTTTGTATTTCTGGGATTGAGAAGTATTACAACCCTAGATTATTTTATTTTATTTTATTTCGGCATCCACAATGATTTCAGCTACCTTCTTATTGTTGTTGAAGTCTTATTGTACATTTACGTCGCACTAAAACTGCACAATGGGCTATTGGCGACGGTCTGGGAAACATCCCTAAGGATGATGCGAAGACATGCCATCACAATTTTGATCCTTTGTAGAGGGGATGGCTCCCCTACTTCGGTATCCCGATGACCTGCGCGCAAAGTCGAGCACTTTATGGTAGAACAGTTTAACGAGGACCAATACCGTGCACCCTCGGTCCCTACGCAGACTGATCCAAGTGTTCACCCACCCGCACACTGACCGCAGCCAGTGATGCGTGGCTTCTTTGATCTGCTAGAACCGTGTCTTAGCGATCAATTCACTGCGGGACTTAGCTATCTCTGAGCTTGATGATGAATTACAAGATAATTTTGAATCACGTATTGAAGATTTGAGTATCAAAAATGTAATGTGATCCGAAAATTTTTTTAAAGTAAGTGATTAGTGCTCATTAACACATTTATTTTCCGGTAACGCTATAAAAACGCAACCACAAATTTGTTAAATATTTCCGGTGCTATCAATACGGAAATTTTGTTGAAACTTATTAATAGTCTCTGAAATTTTGTATTTCCTGATCAGTGAATTGTTGAATGTTATGAAAAGAAATTGAATTGCTGTCATGATGAGATCCTAACATAGACCTAAATTTCAAAGCATGATGAACGTTGAAAGTACTAAACGGGAAATATCTGTACAAATTATATTATTGGTGCTCATACTTCCATAATAATTTAATACATGGTTGAACAAGCGTGATCTGTTAGGGATGCAAGCTTAACAAATATTGATATGTTTTCAAGAATTAAATTTTTAAAAATTTATAATTTCTCAATTATACTTAAAAAAAAGCTTAGAAGTAATACCAGCAGTTTTTGTTACTGATAATGAAAGAAAGAATATTTTTTTAAAAAAAAAATCATATAAATATGTTATTGAAACACGATTGTGGTTTACTTTACTAAGAAAAATTTCGACGCACGCTTGTTTGAGTGCCGATTAAAAAAATTCCTCAACGATAAAACAATTCCTATTTCCTTTTTTTGCGTGCATAATTCAGCGAATGCTTAAGAGAAAAAGTTAATATTGTCAATTTTAAAAATTAAATTTAATGTAAGATTTAAATAATAAAATCTAATTTCAGAGATTGTTCTTAAAAAAATCTATTGCAATTACTAACTAATAAAGTAGATGAATTAAGCTCTGATGCTGAGACATGAACATATGACTGTTCTTGCTCGTTCCCTGTTTCCATGGAGACTATATCCTTCAGGATTACGGAGTTTTCAAAGGTGCTCTTATTGATTTTTCTTCAGACCAAACAAAGCTCCATGAGGAGCTATTATGCTCACCACATGATGTTGACGCTCTTAGACTCGCTTTTTATTTTCATTTTTTCTCGCTCTTTCAAAGTAGTGAAATTGAGGAAATACTATAGAAACTTGCTATTTTTATTCTTCCCTCTTCTTCGATATGTTTATTTTTATTTCGTAATACGCGCCTCTACTCGTTGTGAATGGTCATTTTAATTATTTAAATTTACATTAAATGGTAAAAAAAAATAATAATAAACTGTCAAAAATGTTTACATCAATAAAAATACGATATTGCTTAAAAACAATATGCTGGTTTTTAATGGTAAATGAAAATGTTAGAGCAACGATATTAAATTTAGAAATGTCGAGTAAAAATAATACCCTTCGAGTTTTTAATAAGAGCCTGAAAAATGTTAAATAGTTATAGAATTTTGTATCCAACAATAAGAGGCTTTAAAAAGCAACTTATGCGTACAGATTTGTTTTTAGAATTCTTGCATTTTTCCCCCATCTTATCCATTATGACCCCTATTAAACGTGAAATGGGAAATAAGAGTAACTATTTGCCAGACGGAGCTTGCAAAGTGCTAATCTAATTAAATTAGTCTAGGCTGAACTTGAGTGTAACCAATAGTGTAATATTACCCAGATAATTTAATTTTGGTTTGTAAGCGTGTGAATGACAACTTTTATTAGCCTGTGTAAAGACCGAGGGTGCCCGGTGTGGTCCTTGTTGAACTGTTCTACTGTAAATCTTTCATTCGCTATCCAAAGCGGGTCCCGCAGTGGACTGATCGTTAAGACACGGTTCCCATCAGATCACCGAAGTCAAGCATCACTGGCTGCGGTCATAGTGCGGGTGTGTGACCGCTTGGATCAGTCTGCGTAGGGACCGAGGGTGTGCGGTATTGGTCCTCGTTAAACTGTTCTACCGTAAAGTGCTCGACTTCGCGTGCAGGTCGTTGGGCTACCGAAGCGGGGGTGCCATCCCCTCTGCAGAGGAACAAAATTGTGATGGCGTGTCTTTGGATCATCCTCATGAATGTTTCCCAGACCGATAGCCCATTGTGCAGCTCAATTGTGTCATAAAGTACCTACCAAAATAATTAATTGTTACACGTATGATTGTTACAAAGTCGGCTGATTAACCTTTATTAAATTAAAGAACAAATAGCACAAATTAGGGAAAAACACGTAGATACATCTAGGGTAACGGGGATTTGAACCCGCTATATCCGCGCTACAGAGCGTTTGGCGGATAGGGGAGATAGCTCGTTCAGGAGATCCCTAGTATAATGCATGTGCGCGCTAACAATGTCTTCTGACCATCACAAAGAAAGAACTTCATAATGTCACCAATAGAGTCGTGGCTCAGGGATAGAGGGTTCACCTTCCAATGAGGTAAACCGGGTTCAAATCCCAACGATGACTGGTCGATGCGAATTCCGCACCTGGCTCGCACCGACCACAGTGCAGGCATGAAATATCTTCAGGGGTAGGCGGATCATGGGTTAGAGTTCCCCTTGTTGTCAGGCTAACCGTGGAAGGTTTTCGTTATTTTCCTTTCCATGTAACGCAAATACGGCGTAATTCCACCAAAAAGTCCTCCACGAAGACAAATTTTTCCAAATACTTGATCCAGGAGTTCCCTTGTCTTCTGGATTGAGTTCAAAATTACAAAGCTATGGAGTTGAACATTGGTAGTCGTATACTGGCTGATAAATGACGGTGATAATATTAGATTACTAGGCATGCTTTGCATAACTAAATAAAAGTACTAACTAACTACATCAGAGATAATAAGTGTGCCACTATTTAGTTTAAAATTTTTTACAGCTAAATGGATAAATGAATTTGAATGAGAATTTATGATCTAATGATTTAGAACTCTGGCGTACATTAAAAAATATCAAACTCCTATTGTTTACTAAATTATAAAAATTATTCTAAAGAAAACTCTTCGTAGGAAATCTGCAATTACTTTGTGTGCAATGTATAAATGAATTTTCATAGAAAAAAACATTTAAAAACTTAATTTCTTCCTTGTAATTATTATTTCCTTTAATCTTAATCCCACATGTAATTAAATGAAGTATAAAAACCATTAGAATGATGGAAGTAACAACTTATATCAGAAATAATTAGATTTCAGAGACATAGATAAAATACTAATATTCCAATCTTTCTTATATTGCATACTTTTTTTTATAAAATAATTATTAACAAATAAAAATGTAATTAATAATTCTGTTTAATTACAAAATTCGTTTTTTGTAAATAGAAATACCACGGTTTCAAAGAAAACGTTTTTCAAATCGATTAAAAAACACATGGAAAACACGTGTGAAATTCGGAAGAGAAAGATACATTTATGGATACCCAGCTAGATTACCTAGACCAAGAATTCGAATGACAGCTTATGCATGTCGAGCACCACCCCCTGCATGCTTAACACTGCGGGTACAGAGGCCGCAAGGATTGGCGAGCAGCTTCTTAACCACGCCTACCAGCAGTCATGACCCAATAATTGGGGAGGGACAAGAGAACGGTAATCGGTTTTCGGCAAGCAGGGATCAAGTACCCCACCCTCCTTCCGCAACGCCGTCTTGAAAGGAACGAGAAACTTTTAGTTTGCGTAAGCTCACAAATACGGGAGCATGCAACAGTGCGGAATGCGTCGGTTATTAGCCTCCTAGCACGTGAATGGAGCAACTAAACGGATTAACGAAAAGGAATCTTCGTCTCATGGATATGAGCCACATGCATACTGGACTCAACGGCATAGGGTTCCCATTTTCTCAGGCAATGACCGTCCATCACCGTGGGGGTCAGGAAGTCCAAGCCACAGCGGCGGACATGCTCAATCCATTCATAGATTCAACTGGGCACATGGGAAGTCTGAAACTGAGTCCTCAGCATGGGATGCACAATGATGTAGTTCACCATTCACAAACAAATCATCAATACCCTCAGACAAATGGTTACGGTGTATCACACTCTCATCATCACCATCATCATCATGTGGGGAGTTACGCAGCTAGAGAATTTCTATTGCGACGGGATCATATGCCTTCACTTGCCAACAATTTGGCAGCCCATGATCCTTTATCAAATACTTCACAAGGACATCATGGAATGTTTGTTTCCACATCATCAACACTCCATGGACACCATGCCACAGATCCATCCGCCACATCTCATGTTCTATTTCCCAGTCTTGATCATCATCATACACACAATCATGGACAGATGCGTCTTTTACCAGGTTCTGAAATGTACGCTAGATCAGACAGTTTTAATCACGTGGGACCAAGAACAGATCAATTCATGGGTGGAAGTTATGGACACATGCCACCTATGCCAACTCCTGGAGCTTTTTTCAGGTACATGAGACCATCCATAAAACAAGAGCTAACGTGTCGTTGGATAGACCAAGATGTTCCACAGCCACGTAAAGCATGCAACAAAACATTTAGTACAATGCATGAGATAGTGTCTCACATAGCAGTGGAGCATGTTGGTGGCCCTGAGTGTACCAACCATGCCTGCTTTTGGGAAGATTGTCCTAGGAATAACAGACCATTTAAAGCAAAATATAAACTTGTCAATCATATACGTGTACATACGGGGGAGAAACCCTTTCCATGCCCATTTCCTGGATGTGGTAAAGTTTTTGCAAGATCTGAAAATCTAAAAATTCACAAACGAACACATACAGGTATGGATTTTACTAAATACAACCAAAAATTATCATTTAAGTTTATTCTTAAAATGTAAAAAAAATGCAATATTAGTAATAATTGTAAATGATCAATGCGGGATTGTTTTTGTCTTTTTCTGCATAAGAATACCGATTGCATCATTGTAAAATTTGAATTAAAGAATAGTATTAATTTGTAAGAGATAACTAAGACAAAATTTTAAGGCATTTGTAAAGAGTTAAATCAGTTTTCCTTTTTTATGTACAAGAAATAATTATGACTAATAATTGATTTACTTTTAAATGGAAGATGAATTTGAAATATCGAAATTTGATTAATTAAGATGTTGAAGCATGAATTACTTGCTTCAAGAAATCTGTAATTGGAATTGTTCACTTTAAGGTAGAATGTTATTTTTTTTTTTTTTTTTTTTTTTTTTTTTTTTTTTTTTTTTTTTTTTTTTNTTTTTTTTTTTTTTTTAGTACAAATCTGGCGTTTTTAGGTAATTGAAGAATAATTTCAAAAACTTGTGATTCAACGCTATTTCAATCAATATTTATAAGCTTTCATACAAATTATGCATAGTTATAAGTTTGAAAAGTTTTAACTGACAAAAAAATTTCATGTCAATAATTTCTTTATAAATTGCTAAAAGTAATAATGAATTTTAAAATTAATTCTTTTGTTATTAAATGCAAAATGCAGAATTTGTAGTAATAAACATAAAAATAATATATTTGAAACTGCGTAACGTTTAAAATACACTAGTAAACAATAAATATTTAAGTTTGAGCTGATTGTAAATGTATTGTTTTAAATTAAAGTAATAGTCAAATATTTAGTCAATATTAACACAGTTTCCACAGATAGAATTTTTATTGTTATTTGGACATATTTGATAAAATAATCACGAGCTTTAAATTAGATTATTATGATCTGAAATTGAGTTGCAGAAAACTACAAAAAAAAAAAAGTTATTGTTTATGTTGATAAAATTATTTTGCATATAATGCTTGAAAAGGAAATTTTAAATTTTTATTATAAAAAAAAGCATTTTATTTTGAAAATTGTTTCTCTAATTTTGTTGTCTAGAGAAAATGTTTGTGATCAGTTACGAGTAGGTAAAAAGTCGGAAAACTGATTTGAGACCTTTTGAACTTCTCGTTAATGATATTTACTCAAAATGGCAATTGGAGAAAATATATCAAATTGAAATAAGCGAGATATAAAATAATACGTTAAAATTAGTTTGATTAAAAAAGTCTATATCAAATACGCGAAATTTAATTTAATTTGAAGGCAATTTTATTATGTAGAAACTTTTTAATGTAAAATGAACATTTTTAAATAATAAAATATGTAAATCATAATTATACAAATAAGCTCTAAAACTGGATGTGGAAGAAATTTAAAATAAAAATCGTCGTTAGCTGTACCAAATAAAATGCTTCAAAATTGAGAAAGAAAGCTGTTCCATGTTTATTTGCAATGTTTTACCGTTAAATTATTCTCTACAGGGAATATTATTCCCTATTGAGTCGTGATATTTCAAATTTTTTGCTAAAGTAATCTGAGTGGATGATGTAGTTTTGTACAGTGTAATTTACTCGATACTTTGTAATAGTTTAATTTTTATAAAAATGTTTCGAAGTAAATTCTTTTTTAACAAATTAAAAATTTGAAGTAATAACCATGAAATTTTACGATAAAGTAGGTTTAAGAGTATTTTAGCAATTATTTTCCGCTATTAAATATATAAAACTTTTATGTAAATGAATATTGCGAAAAGGGATTAGATTTATACCAATTTTTATTTTCCAGAATACTAGTTAGTGATATTTTCAGTCAGATCCAAAATCGAAATTTCTTAATAGCTCACCAGTTATCACAAAGCAAAAAAGTAACTGCATTAAGTAAAGCTTAATGAAAATATCACAACGTTTATTTTGAATGATTTCTGTTTTTGTCATATCTTGTAACCAGCTAGACTGAGTTTTAAGACTAATCGTTCGTAAGAAAAGTTTATTTTTGTTTTTGAAGAACAAGCCTTTTAAGTTGTGAGACAACATTAACGGTAAGTATTGTTAAGTATTTGAGATCTGAAGACTATTTCCGATTCCGGTAAGAAGTTTTAAATATGCTTTAGGAAGTAACGTTATCCATGTTTTCTTTTAAGTAAGTATATATTTTCAAAAATATGGTTCAGTGAAAAAGTTGAAAATGCCAGCCACATTTCTTAATCTGAAATTAAGACAAGTTTTATGATGTTAGTGACACAAATCAAAATTTTTTGATGCGAACTTATCATTAGGAAATATTTTACTTAATAAAAATTCAAAGGATTTACTTCGTTGGTAAGTTGAAATTTTCTTTTACATTTTTATTACAATTTAATTCTTTCAAAAATTAATTTTTTATGCAATTAACAAATCTTACAAAAAATATATTTTAAATACATTTTATTTCTTCTTACATAATTGTATTTCATATTCACTTAACAAGTTTGCTACTTTATATTCTTTCACTTATGTATTTAAAGTTTTTCAGAAATCGTTCTACGAACGTTTTCCTATAATTAATAATTTATGACTACCATGCTAATTTATTTTTCGATATGCACTATAAAAATGTTATCATTCTTTGTTTATTGTTAAGTTTATCCCTTTCCAATATAATCCTTTTTTCAGACTATTCAAAAATAAATTATTGAGGGAAATAATTAAATAAAAATTTGTAGTTTTTTTATGAATATATAACAAATTTTTAAAAAGAATTTGGTAAAAAAATTAAGGTACTCTAAATGAAAACTTAAATTTCAAGAACTAAAATTATCTTCAAATCTGAAAACTTTAAAAAATTTTTCAAGATCAATCCTTATTATTCTAAATATACTAATTTGGGTACAACTATTTATGGTTTTGTTATAATATTTCATCTGTCACCTTTTACTGCTTTTTGTACAAAATATGCAACTGGCAAACTTTTGTACTATTTGAATATCTACAGATTCAGGGTCTAATTTATTCGAGACATTTTCCCAAGGATTCCAAAATCGCTCCATTTAAACTTTATTTGGAAACATTCAAATGATAGGGAATTATTTAATATTAATAACCACATTGTGGTAAAAATGTCAGAACCAATATTTCATTTAAACATTGATCTTATTAGTTGTATTTTGCATTTTTAATTGCAGTAAGGGCACACTAGATCTTAAACATCGTAATAATTTGAAAAATTACTTCACCTAAAATGATTAAAAAATTTTCTTGTTTGCCGTTGATTATCAACATTTTTCTAAGTATAACAATTTTTAAAGATATTATAGCAATTTTATTTATATTTTCGTTATAACGTGCAACAAAGTTGGGTTTTTATCTGAAATGTTCCATTTTTGCTCCTCGCTTCTCAATTTTTATTTTCCTGAAAGTTCGGCTTAAGCTTCATATAATGACTTAAAGGATTGCTGAGGATTGTTTTCTTGAAATAATCGTTACAGAACTTTTTACTATTGTTTGAGTGCAGCAAAACATAATTTTCTGAGGGAAAAAAATGCCCCTAAAAGAAATTCTTTTTATTTTTCTCAAATTGAAAAAAAAAACTGATCTTTAGATCAATTTATATTTCCATTTGGCACGTGCAGATAAAATTTGAGACACGTGGTAATTTTTATATGGTTTTCTTGTTTCATATTCATTCATGTCAAATTTTTCCGATTAAACGGGAGACTCTTTAATATCTGAAGTTGTAATTAATTTTCATGATTTACATTGATTTTTACTACCACTATATGGAATCAACTGAAACAAATATATAAAACCTGCTAATTGGTTAGTAAAGATTATAAGTATTTGTAAAATTAAATAAATTAAGATTATATTAATTACTATTTCTCTACCACTTTAACATTGTGGGGTGCTAGGAATATTTTTTTTTACAATTTTGTACTATTTATGTATTTTAATATTAAACCAAAGGAAAAATACGAAATCTACAAAAAAAATTAATATTAGTTTAAATTTAAAAAAAATTTATAAAATTTTAATTTTAAATTAAAAGCCCTTTGTTTCTTTAAATAAATAAATTAAACTCTCGCTTCGGTGTTTTACGTGAGAGTGACATAAATTATGCCTAACTTTATTAACTAGCAGCAAACTTTATTTGCTGCTCAAATGTGTGAAAAAAATTTGACTTAACCGTTTTATTTATCTTCTTTGTTATTGCATATTAAAGTTAAAGATAATTATGAGTCACCCCTCCTATATTATACTACTTTCACTAAAAACCAACGAGACTACTATTTTTTTTTATTGCTGCTTAAATGTTTTTTCTTATATTTAGTTAAATAAAATGTCTAAAGCTAATTATACTCACGAAAATTTAGATAGCAAAAGTCAGTGAGAACTTGGCACTTCCTTCAGCAATAAATTCGAATTTTTCCAAGTTGGCTGCTGAGGAGAACTACTTTAAATATCCTTCTTATTTCAACTTTACTTATTTTTCAAGCATTTATTCAAATGAGTTGCATGATAACAGCTATTAAGAAGATTCGTGAAAGTATATCTTAGCCTAACATACGATGTTTCCTGATATCAGGTTGCCTAAATACAATATACAATCACGCTACGGATTGACGACTTAACGTGTTTTATTGAATTTAGCGCTTACTATTAAGCTACATAAATAAAATACAAATGCTTTTTATTCTCTAATTTATTAAATAGTCTACCTTTTAAAACACTTTAAATTTAAGAAAATTATACTCTTAAGTATTTTATAGAAAGTATTAAGTTTTCAAACTAATGGATTTATTCTTGTAGAAAATATTTTCATTTCTAAGATATTTTTCTGTTTGTTTTATCTTTTGCACACATAATTTATTTTAACTTTTGTTTCGAACCATATTTAATTTATTTTGCCTGAAAGGTTAAATTAGTTTATTTTTTTAAATTTTTAGTTTATTCATTTCGTATTTTCTTTCATTACTGTTTACTCGTTTAAACAGTAATATGATAGT